GTTAAGAGATTTTGGGGTTTAGGTTTTAGGGTTGAGAGTTTCGGGTTTGGGCCATGGGGTTTCGACTTTTGGGTTTGGGGTTTCGACTTTTGGGTTTGAGGCGAGGGTTTGCAGGGATGGGTGTGCGTCCGGACGATACGGCTATAGCACGGATGTGAAAGAAAGCTTTCTACAAAGAACGACCGTTGAAACCAGCTCAGGACTATCTAGAAAGCCCTGAAGTTTCATTTGTAAGCATGACCGCACCTAATACCCTGATGGCTTAACACCTTAGAGTTACCCTAAGGCCAAGACCCAACGGCCAGCAAAGCCCCAATGTAGGGGGCCTGAATGATTAGAATAGGGGTTTGGGGGTTCCTTATTAGAACTGTAGCATACTATACCCCCAAACCCTATTCTCGTTATTAAGGGCCCCTAAATTATAGCACCCTTTATAGATCACGTATAGTTACCCGTATAGACCGCTTTGAAGGAACCCTATCCTAATTAAGGCCCCTACATGGGAGTTTCCGAAAATAAGGGACCCTGATATGGCACCCGTAGTAGTAGGATCCTTATTACAAGGACCCCAAAATTATGGCATCCCTAATTTTCGGAAACTCCTACATGAACCCAGAGGCTGCCTCATCATGGAATCTCGCAACTTCACCGACTGTCGCCATGCAGATCCTCCGATTGCTGTTGGCTTTAGGGTTTAAGGGTTTAGGGTTTAAGGGTTAAGGGTTTAGGGTTTAGGGTTTTCGGCTCGGGCCTTCCAGGATCTAAGACTGAGACACCCGAAGTAAGCGTAAGTCCCTGAACCCGAAATCCCACATCCCTAAACCCACAAAGAACCACTGCCAAGCTTCAAAAAACTGATGCCCTAGACCCTGATTTCAACACCCCCGCGAGCCCCTACATCCTAACGCTGCGGAGCCTGAACCCGGAAGGGTCTTAGGGATTAGAATAAGGTTTTGGGTGTACTACAACGTAACTTTAAAGAGCCCCTCCCCTAAACAGCACCGTAAGACACGTCTGTAAGGGAATAACATGACAATGTTTCTATATTAACACACCAAACACCCTTAACCAGGGGCTACTTGGAGGGCCATGGGACTTAGTAAGTAAGGTTTTGAGTACCTCAACCGGGGATATAAGTAGTTATAAGTATAGTTACCTTACTTATAATCCTAGTTACTAAGTCCCATGCTCCCCTAAGTATGCAAACCCTCAACCCCTATCTTCGAGCACCTCTCTCGCAGGAGGACAGGGCTGAGTTGTAGGCCACCAGATCTGGCTCCAGGAATCCCAGGGCAAGCTCCTGTTAGGGTTCATAGTAGAAGCCAGAAAGTTGGAACATGACTTTAGGAGGATTAGTGCTAAGATCCCTTATACTCTACCTTAAGAGCATGAGGGTAATGATGTTCCAACTTTCTGGCTTCTACTGTAGGGGTTTGGGGTCTAGGGGTTTCGTGGCTTAGGGGTTTAGTAACCCTTGTAGATCCCCTTATAGTAACCCTTATAGATCCCCTTATAGTGGCTTAGGGGTTTAGTGGCTTAGGGGTTTAAGGTTTGGGGTTTGGGGTTTAGGGCCTCTGAAAGTTCGGAAGGTCCTGGTGGGTTGGGGGTTGTGCCGGAGTAGCTTGGGTGCGGGAAGTGGGGCTTATGTTCAAGAAGTTGTGGAGATTCTTGTAGGTCTTTCTAGTGGTTTCAGATCAAGCCAAATCCCACGTGGCCATTACACGACTACCCTTAAACCCTGAACTACAACAACAAACACAAACTCAAACAACAAAAAACACTCACACACCTGAAAACTTGCAGCTCCTGCAAGAGCTGATGACTCTGCGGCCACGCGCCGGCCCGAGCACAGGCACTCAGTGCGACTCCGTACGCGATCACATCAGCCTTCCCGCAGAGTTTAGGGTTTAGGGTTCGTGTCGGCAGAATCCACAGCTCGTGGAAGGGTTATAGGGTTCGGGCTATGGTTTAGGCTTTAGAGTTTAGGGTCAGGGTTTAGGGCTTAGTGTTCAAGTGTTCCGAAGCCCTCAAACCTGAATCCTAAGCCCAAGCCCTCTATGGCTTATGAACCCGATGAGCTGCTGTACAAAAACAAACTGACCTCTGATCAGGGAAAATCCAGATTGCTGTATATAGGGGTTCCTGTAACGCATAAACCCGAAATTCCAAATCTTGAAACTACCCAGAAGCCCCAAAGTAGTTCCTTTTTGGGATTACCTTATAGGATTCTATATATGAACCGCAACAAGGAACTACATTGGGGCCTTTGGGTAGGTTCGTGAAGCACGAACGGCTTGGAACAATTTCTCAAAGCGCTTGAATCCTAGAAGCCTCTGTCTTCGAACGTAGCGCGGATGGTTCGGGCTTTTGGTGGTTTGGGGTTTATAAGGGTTTCGGGGCACCCCCGTTGAGACGGTTGAATGTCCCAGGTTCGAATTTTGTCTTGATGGGTTTGTCGAGTGAAGGTTTATTCCGGGAGCTCTGAAAAAAACGTACAACCTGCCGCAATTGGCTTAAGCCCTTGGGCTATTGGGACTTTGGGTGTAGCGCTGTGCTTAACGAGTTAGGAGCTATCGCAAGCCAAGTAAGAGTGCACGAAAGTAGTATCCCTTCAAACCCTAAACACTGCGCAGCCTTTCCCGCAAACCCCCAACACTGAACCACCGAACACTGCAACATTGAACCCCAAGCCCCAAACAGCGACTTCTTGCCCCGTAACCCTCAACGCTCACAGCTCCTCACCCAACCGATCTCTCGGCTTCCGCTCACTGAGCCCGAAAACCTAAAATCCGAAGCACTAAACTCCAAGATGCTTCTGCCTGCCTCCCTACATCGACGGCTTAGGGTCTAGGGGCTTCGGCTTGGCGGTTTAGGGGTTCAGAGGTTAAAAAGCTTCGGGGAAGCTGTGAACTCTTCAAAGCCCTCATAGGGCCCTAGGTCCGTTATAGGGTATACTTCCCGAAAGCAGGTCAGTGATACTTCCGAACATAGGGTATACATCCCCAAATCATAGCGATAATTCCCGAATAAAGACACCCTACACTCTACTAGATCTGAAGCCCTAAACCCTAAAGCTCTTACGCCTAAACCATCCCTAAATCTTGAAGCCCTCAACCCTACAGCCCTTACAGCTACTGAAGGCCTTCTGGGACTGAATCCTAAGCCAGCCAACCCTAAACCCTAAACCCTAAACCCTAAACCCGACCTCCAAGGAATCAGCTCCCAACTCCAGCAGCAATCGGAGACCCTCCGCCCAGTCTTGGGCCCTCCCTCGCTGCTGGATGGCCTCTCCCGGGCTTCGGGTTTAGGGTACATAGGGCAGAGGGTGTTAGGGTTAAAAGGTTCCGGGTGTATAGGGTCATTATAAGGATTAGGGCTTGTTATAGTTAAAAGGTTAGACGTTAAAGGTATATGGGGTAATTATGAGGATTGTAAGGCTCAGGATGCAGAGTTTCGGGATGAGGGCTGAGCATTTTAGGCTGAATTGGGCCCAGCTCCTGGTGAACACTCGGGAACTGCAAGGGTCGTGAAACAGTCCTGCAGGGGTTCTTCCAAAAAGAAGGATTCCTCGAGGGTGCAAAAAGGGTTTGATGTAGAAACAGACCGGTGCTTCGGTGGGTTCCCACATTACCTAGAGACTCCAATATCCCTTAACTAAGGAATGTACCTTAATGTAGGATCCATAATGTGATTTAAGGCATATTCCGTAATTAAGGGATATTGAAGTCTCTGGGAAGGACAATGTTTAGAAAGCTCAAGGAAAAACAACTAATCTTTGATGCTCGCACATCTGTGAACATCACGAGTATCTTGATAAGGACCCCTAGGTATATACCCTTAATATAGCCATTATATACCCATTATATTGCCCATTATAGCGTAGGGGTCCCCATTAAGGGTCCCTGCTTTTCCCCTTTGAGAGAAAGGAATGCAAGTCTTAACTGCGAGATCTCTCTGTCTCTAGGAAAGCCCAAACCCCAAACCCCTCTAAACCCCAGGACCTATAACCCTAAGCAGGACAATCCTAAGAACCTAGACCCTTCACCTCAATCCACAAACCCGAACACCCAAACCCTAAAGACCTAACCTCAAGCCCTAAACCCCAAACCCTACCCTTCGGAACCGCCTGACTATAGCTTCGGAGATTTGGCGACACGCTGGAGACCGTCATCGGCTCAGCCCCAGTGGCTCGGTGTTCCGGGCTTCGGGTTTATTTAGGGTTTTTTGGGGCGTTTAGGAGTCTAGGGTTTAGCTTTACAGTAGGGGTTTAGGGGCTAAAGTGTTCAGGGCTCAGATTTTCTTTCGTAGGGCTAAGGGTGGAGGCCTTGGGATTCTGCTTCTAAGGTGGCTTGCATAGATAAGGTTTCTGATGAAATTGACGAGGGTAGGGATTGAGGCTTGGGTTTGGCTCATGCAGTTTTTCAAGCCTGTGCAGGGATTACGGTGGTTTCGAGGCTGCTGTGGGTTTACGGAATGGATTTAGTTGGGTGCTTGAGCTGCAGTGCTCGCCAGAAACAAGCCCATGTGCTGTTTAGTGCTCGTGTGGAATTTGTAGACGAATTAAATACCCGTATAAATTATGCTAAAGTCTTATGGTTGGCTCTGAAATTCAACCCAGACCAATTAGATACCTATGTTTCGTTTCTTCGGGGCCCTCAAAGCTCGCGTGAAACCGTGCAACACCCCGCACGTTTCGTCACAGAACCTTCAAATAACCTTGCTCAGCCCCTGTTACCCCGTGTAAACGTCTTAACCCTGTCAACGAACCCGGGCATCCCGGCCCTTCTACAGCCCTTGAAGAAGCCTATAACTGGGCTTGCAAGTAACCAGGGAGACAAAAGGATAATCTTTGATTTCATCATGGCACCTTTAAGAAAGAAGTATTAAAGCATGGAACTCCAGGGCCCTGGTCGTTCTGGGGCACCCTAAACCCTAAACCCTACCCTAACCCTTTGTATTCGGCACATGGGACCATCAGGACTCTCGACCGAGCTTAGCACGGCTCGTGGACCACCGAGCCACCGCATTGCCAAGCGCTGAAGCCTAGCTCCATCTCCTGTTTGGGGGGCTCTTCCCGTAAGGGGTCTTTACACATGCTATGGGGTTTACGGTTCGGCATTTAACAGGGCTTCAGACTTTAGGGAGTTAGCTTTAAGGCTTATTGGGGTTTAGGACTTCGGGTGGAGCGGTTCGGAGTTCAGATTCAAGGTTGTAGGGACGCCTTAGTACGGAATATTCACATCAAAACGGAGAAACGTTTCTTGCTATGAGATAAGGAATGCGGGGTGTTCCGCTTGGGGCATATCGCGCAAGGCTATTCTAAGCGGCAGTTGACATGAGTGGTCTTGCAGATTAAGGCGGGAACCCATGGCATTGCACACTTCCAGACTTCAATGTCTAAAGAGCACGAAAGGACATCCTGACTTGTGGATCTCGATTTCCAATAGCCGTTAATAGCTGCGAGCGGTATAACCCTGCTGCGTACATACAGACCTTACATACGGAATGTAATGTACTGTAACTATAGCATACTGCGACTGCAGCCATGTAGTTTCAGTTCAAATCCATGTATTTGCAATGCAGTTGCAATGTAGTTGTGTGAGATATAGGTAAGGCAGCTGTGTGATGAGCATTTTGCCAGTATGGTGATTTTGAACAAAAAAGAACGCACCGTAGTTTAAAACTATGTGATGCAATCGGTGCTTGTACTCTTGTGTGAGCTTTTTTGCTGAGCAAGTTGCACCCATCTAACAGAGCAAACTCCCCACCGGCTCCTCGCCACCATAGATGCGCAACTCAGGGTCATATCCTTCAAAAGAGGGAGAGCAAACATGCTGCACCCCCACCCTAAGGCAGGGTCCAAGTAGTCCTTGTTTATGGTTTGCGATACCTAAGCAGGCCCCAAAGTCCTGCAAAATATTGAATACTTGGACCATCTTGTACCCTTAGGGACAATTATTAACGCTCGCAAAGCCTCTGTTCTATGCTTCAATGAGCACCCCAACGTTCAGTCCGGCTCAATACTGCTCGCATAACATAGGGGCCGTAATAATTACATGTTCTAATTTTGGTTATAACTATCATACAATATTCCCCAAAACCCCGCTCTAGTCATTCAGGCCCCTGAAACACTGGGCTGATTATGGGTCCACCGATTCTTGTCTGGGAGTCTTAGCCGGGTTTGGGGTTTGTAGGGCTTTCGCACCTCGACAGAAAACCAAGATCTGGGACGGACAACTTGAACCTCCAGCAACACCGTAAAATCACCCCCTCAAGCCTATAAACCCGAACAGAAACCGACCCTGAACCCCGTAGCCCCAAAGCCTTATGCCCCTCAACCCCAAACCTGAAACCCTGAACCCCAGACTCTAACCCCTACACCCCATGCGGTCCTCCCAGGTGGAGAAACCAGGAGCGGTCCTGACAGTCGATGCAACTGGGGGCATTTCCCAAAGCCAAAACAAGTACGGTTTAGGGTCTACCTTAACCCCAAGTAACCTACCTTTTTAAGGACTTATCTAAGGAAATCATAATAACGAACCCTAAAGAAGGTAGGTCCTTTAGGGTCCAGGTAGGTTATAGGGCTCAAGGGTCCACGGGAACTGATAATTCTCGATCTCTGGGCTTGATGTAGGTATTGCTACCATATAAGCATTTGTTTTTGGTTCGGGGCTTCGCACTTTACCTAGAGGTTCAGCCTGTCCCAAAAAATGCAGAAAGCGCCGAAAGCCCCAACCACAGGGCAAGTCCTAATGTGTGCAGAGAGAGAGAGAGAGAGAGAGAGAGAGAGAGAGAGAGAGAGAGAGAGAGAGAGAGAGAGAGAGAGAGAGAGGGGGAGAACCCGGGAGCTTGAAAAGTGAACTTCCTGAGTCCCTTCCATCCAGTATCCTACCAGATTTTCAGCCACCCAGAACCCTATGAACCCCTAACCCTTATAAACCCCATTCTCACAGAGAGAGAGAGAGAGAGAGAGAAAGAGAGGGACGGAGAGAGAGAGAGAGAGAGAGAGAGGCACATACATATATGCGTGTACAAACGCATACAGACATACATTCATACATTCACGCATTACTTAGCCCCGTAAGGCCCTTGCCAAACTTGTGAAGCCCTTAGAAACCTCACTACCCAGGTACAACAGTATAGAACCACTGCGGGCCATATAAATCCTTTGTAACCTAGTTAGTTGATCAACACTTCTGTTTGACCTTTTCACACAGCAGCCCCAGAAAGACCGCCCTAAACCCTTTATGGAACCCTTGTAGATCCCTTTAAGGAGCCCTTAAAGGATCCCTTTAAAAGTAACCCCTAGTTTTCGGAAGCCATAATGCCCGAAAAAAGACGTCCCGGGCATCCCGGCCACTGCGAAGAGCCCCCCGCAAAGGACGGAGGAGGGCGCCAATGAGTCCTGACTTCGTTGGAGGTCTACCCATGAGCTGTTTTGCCTTTAGACTTCATCGTTGCTGCGGTTCAGGCGTCAGGACCGTATTTATGTACATGTATATGTCTATGTACATGTATGGGTATGTGTATGCGTGCGTGTACATGCTCGTGCATATGTATATGCATGTGTATATGTATATCTCCGCATATGTAAGTAAGTATTCATATGTTCACTGGAAAAAAGCGCATCTGCGGCTATATTGCCATATGCAAAATAGAAACATCTTGCTAGATAACGGTAAGGTACACAAAGACGGATGCTTTTTCAGCACAACCTTTTGAGGAGGTGATCGTGGTGTTCAGGCTAACGGCCAACGCTTGAGGGCGTTTTAGAAAAGAACCTGAAGAGTCAGGCTACCCAGAGGCCCCATGGTAGTTCCTTTTGGGGGTTCATACATATGTAGAATCCCATAAGGTAATCCCAGAAAGGAAATACTATGGGGCCTATGGGTACAGGGGCCTTAATCATTCTGACAGGCTTCTGTGCTAGTTACTTATTGTAGAGTTGTTGGATCACGGTCCATAAAAAGGCGATTGTCAAGACACAGCTTTGAAAAGTCCAATGCTCAATGCCCCTACAGCAAGAAACATTTATGCAGAGTATTCTTGCATAGCACAATGGACCCCTGCAATGTTCTGACTTTGTAATTTTCAACGGCAATCGTAATCACCAGCCCTAGAAATGTAGGGGGGGGGGCAGGTAAAGTCGATGCCTTAATTTAGGAGTGCTTGGCTCTATCGGCACACGACACGAGCATCAAGTATCGGCTTGTTCAGCAAAGCTGTAGAACACCAAACCCTACACTCCTGGACCTTAAACCGCTTCTGTCTTGTAAACCGCCTTCCCTCCGTCACCTCCCCCTCCGGGCGCTCTCGAGGCTTTTGATTCAGCCTCAGATGTTTGGGAATGCCGGAAACCAGTTATAAGGCTCATTGTAGACCGACAGTAGCAATGATCGTTTGGACTAGTGGAAATATCAGTATGTTAATGTAAGTATAGGATCCTTCTTAATTTAGATGTGCCGAAGATTCGGAACAAAGGTATGGGTCAGGAACAATACGATCCATAGGACAAACATCGCTAAAGCAGATGCCCCAGCATATACTCAGAGTACCGTACTGCAGACACGAAATACTCGGATTCTCATTCTAAGGACCGTCAAGTATATTATATTATATAGACCAAATTTGAAGCAGCCCCCTTATACAACAGAAGAACAGACACACACACACACACACACACACACACACACACACACACACACACACACACACACACACACACATGACGCCTGTATCAAACCCCAAAGCAGACTGACAGACAGCCTCAACGATTAGGACAGGGTGCTTGGGTCATAAGCGGATATGGGAGTTTCCGAGAATAGGGGACGCCAAAAATAGTACCCCCTAAAAAAGAAAATCCTTATTACACTCAAAGTAAGGTAGCCCTAATTTTCGGAAACTCCCAAAGGATCACTACATACTCAGGCCTCTGTACCAACCTCTTGCAGCTGATCCTGTGGATTGGATGTAGGCTGGCGGTCAAAGGGCTTAGTACTTAGGGGCTGAGATGAGGGCTTGATGAATGGGGGCGCCAGCAAGTTTCTATGACGAACGACCGAAAGAAGGACACACTTCGGAACCCGAACCCGAAATCCTAAACCTTCAGACCCTAAGAGAAACCCAACCTCTGCTGCCCAGGGGCTGCCAGTTAAAGCTGACCATACCAAGGCCAAAGACGCTATAGCTGAAATCCTCGCCGGCTGTTGGGCTTCGTTTTCGGTTCTTGAGAAGTTTTGGCTTTGTTAAGCTGTACTAGTACCCCCCCTTTGAACCATATTAGACAGAACATGCTCATTATTTAAGTTAAGTTTTATAAGTTCATACGAACAAATGTACAAAATCTTTTCTAAGGAGACTATAGTACGGGCCCCGCTCCACTAAGCAATGCCTAAACTCGGGATCTCGGCTTGGGGTCTTGGGGTTTAGGGTTTTGAAGGGTTTTGGGTTTTGGGTTTTTTTGGGTTTGGGGGTTCAAGGTTTTTGGGTTTTTAGGGTTTGGGCTTGGGATTAAGGCTTTTGGGGGTTTTGGGGTTGGGGGTTTTCGACGGTTTGGGCTTCGAGGTTTACGTCTTTTGTGGGGATAGTGACTATTGCTACATGGCTTTGTATAGTTACTCAATCTCTAGCTGCATGTTCAAACCACATGAAACGTGAGAAGCCAGTGGAAAAGCTGAAAGCCGCATAGCTCCTCCGTGTCGATGCCATCAATGCTGGGCACAACCAGGCGCGTGCGGTCCTTCAAAAAAGCTGGCTTGAGATTGCTTGCTTGGAAAGAAGGTGGCGATGGTGGCGGTGGTGGAGGTGGTCGTGGTGGTGCTGGTGGTGGAAATGGTGGTGGCGGTGAAAGTTTGTCATAGTTGTAGAGGGACGACCAATTACGTGAGAAGCCGCAGCATTGCTTCGAGTTTTATGAGGCAGTGAAAGATGCAGGCATTCGGAGCTGAGGTTAAGCTGGAAATGGCAACCTATCCATGGCAACACGGCTGCGACACGGAAGCACAAGTCTTGGCAGGGCGAGAATCGTGTGATGCATCGGCAAGACAAGCAACGTCAAAACGAGAACCCTCGACGCCCTCGCCCCTGCATGTAGTAGTGCACATAGTCCAGGCATCTTTCCACACGCAAACATAGCTCTATCGGAGACATACCGTCCCGAAACTCCAGTGTGTGGGATGCAAGCTGTCACCGCTGTTCACGCCTGACAGGCGCTTTACATCATTTTCTCGACAAGTCCATGGTTGCATCTGCTACTGCTACGGCCGCGCCGTTCGAAGATGCAGAGTCTCAGCCTATGCAGCTGAGCCTTTTTGGTCCTTTGCCCTACCTCCCCTCCAAAGCCCGAAGCCCTAAACCCGAAGCCGCAAAATTCGGAGGCCTCCTGTGATGTTGCTTCCCAGCACTCGAAAAGACCAACCCAAAACTTTGACCTGCCAAACCTTAACCTTCAACTATCATTATTATTCTTCTTCCCAATATTAATGTGACTATGAGTATGACTGCTATGATGACAGCTATTACTACTGGTATTATGCTACCCCCAAACCCCAGAACCTCACCTGCCCCCCCCTCAAAAACACAATGAAATGTGAACCCTCACACAAAAAACATGAACCCCTCAAAACCCCAACCCAACCCCCAACCTCGGATTCGAAAAGCGCCAAACCTCCAAAGCTTGAAACCCCAACCAACCCCCAACCCTCAACCCCCCGAGCCTCAACAAATTGAAGCCGTAAACCTTAAACTCTAAATCCTAAGCCCTAAAACCAAAAAGTCTAACCCCAAAACCCTAATCCCTAAACCCTAAGCCCTATATGCCCTAAACACCTAATCCCCTAAAACCAAAAAGTCTAGCCCCAAAACCCTAATCCCTAAACCCCTAAACCCTGGGCCCTAAGCCCTATATGCCCTAAACCCCAAACCCTAAACCCTAAACCCCTATCCCTAAACCTGAAGCCCTATATGCCCCAAAACTCTCAAACCCAGGAAGCTCCTCGGCGATGCGAAAAAGCAGCGGCTCGAGCCAGCCCTGAGTCGCCTCTGGATCGGAGATTCCCAGGTATAGGGTTGAGGGTTTAGGGTATAGGGTTTAGGGTATAGGGTTTAGGGTTTAGGGTATAGGGTTGAGGGTTTAGGGTTTAGGGTTTAGGGTATAGGATATGCTGGGTTCTTGTTGGGGGATTGAAATTTAAGTCATCATAATAAGGATCTACCGTAAATAATAAGGATCTATAGTAAATAATACGGTTTCCTTATAATGGTAACTTGCCCAGAGGCCCCATAGTAGCTCTTTTTTGGGGTTCATATGTAGAATCCTAGGGTAATCCCAAAAAGGAACTACAGTACTATGGGGCCTATGGTATAGGGTATGCAAGGTAACGGGTTGAGGAATCGGTTTAGGGTTTCGGGTTGCAAAATGGCCTTTTTAGTTGGAGACGGCTCGAGGAGGTCTCGAAGTTCGAGTGCCCACCCTGCTCGAGGCGGGTGGCCAACAAATTCTTCCTCTGGGCATCGTCAATGTCGGTGCATGCAATGGAAACGCCTTGCATGCCCTCCCGCTACTTAGAGGATCTGGGGACTTCGTAAATAGGGCTAGAAGTAAGGTAACTATAGTTATATGTACTTATAACCCTAATCAACCTACTTATGACCCCACTGACTAAGTCCCAGGATCCTCCAAGTACTGCTTCGCAAGCCTTCCGGCCACTTGTTGGCGCACTCCGTGCCCCCCCAGGCCCTCCAAAATCCCTTAAGTAAGGAAGATACCTCAAATCATGTTACAAGGTCCTACTGTAATTCAGTTGTAAAGTAGGATTTTGGAAGGTCCAAGCTTTAGGCCATCATTTCAGAGTCGTGGGCGGGCTTCTATAGCCCACGGTAGATTTGTCAGAGCCGATGCATGCAACAGACACGTGGTTCGCGGTTTAGGGCTTAGGGTGACCTGTTGTCTAGCGTCCCGACTCACGTTTGATCGAGCCGTTGGAAGCCAAAGACCAAAGAGAATTCATGTCTGCTTGGGTACGGCCCCCAGACAGTAACAGTCTATACTAGGGCTACTATAGAGGGCCGAATATAACTAATTTACGAATATTAACCAACTGTTACCGAGTGAGGGCCGTACCCAAAAGCTCTCCGTAGTCCCCCGAAGAACCTTTATAATACTAAATTGCTCATCACGGTTCTGAAGTTTGGTTCTTCGCGTTGTGCAGGGTATGGTTTATAACTTCATGTTTTAAGCCCCTGGTGGGCCATGATTCAATCTCAAAGTGGCGAACATACCCCGGACCTGCTTGAATCCGCTCTATCGTGGAATTTGGGCGCAAACTTGGCCAGGCACTTTGTGGGGCTTTTGGAAAAGTCAATTCTGGCACGTTCGGGTGCGACGACGCTAGCGGTGGCTGCAGACACCCTGCTGAAAGTCGCCTCAACGTGGCTGTCCAAGCAAACTATGATCTCGCCCTTGGCGTGCCAAACACCTGGCAACCAGCATGGGGAGTTTTGCCCGGATTCCATCGCTTCAGGTTTCATGTTGGAGGATCGATTCTTAAGGTAGTCACGTCACGGAACCCGTGACCTTGCCGTAGACCACAAAGCTAACGACTCCAGCCACCACATGAGGTGGATGGCTCCGAAGGAGGCATAAGGACATGTTTTTCTGGCGTGACATGAGAAAATAACAGTACCTCCAAGTTTACCGGTTACTTGCTCCATCATCTCTGAAAACCGGCTGACCCCTCAGGCATTCGCCATTCCTGAACCCCACCGCAACTCCAAGGAGTTGGGCCTTTGGGTTTAATGGCTTTTGGTAGTTCGAGTGTAGGGATTCAGAACTCTGAAGACCACGTCGACTGGCATTGATGGTCTAGACCCAAGAGTAACCCAGGAATAAAAAGGGTGCCCTTTTTGGGTTAAAGGGGGCTTATAAGGGAACCTAAACCCTAAAAAAGGGAATAAGGGCCTACTCTGGGTCCTAGTGGTAGCTTTCAGCATTCGGTAAGCCGGAACAACCTAGCCTAAGTTGAAAAGTGCAAACTCGAAGCACTCGACAACAGCTTGTACCGCCTATACCCCCTCGCCCGACTTCAAACCAATCCCAGGACAAGTTGGAGAAATCTCTATGCAGTCCCAAGACCCAGGAGAGAAACGCAAAACATTGAAAGGTCTCCCCAATGGCGAAAGAATCCCAACAGAACCCTAAACCCCCTAGGTCCTCAAGAGGCCTTCCATTCTCGCCTTCATGAGCCCGCGCCGGGCCTGTCAAAGAGCTGGGGGCAAGAGCTTGAGCAATCCCTCACAACACTCTAAAGCCAAAACGCAGCACAACAGAAACAAAAACACTAACAGCTGGATGCTAAAGGCGAAGAGGGGTACGGGGTCCCATCAGAATTGCTTACCTCAACTTCTAGAGGGTTCGGTTTTCGCAAGTACTCTCTGAGGATGCCATGAGTATTCGGGCTTGGGGCCGTCGATCTTGCCGCACGGTTTGAAGCGTCAGCTGCAGTCTTTCCAGAAGGCTACAGGGTACGGACGGTGCTCGAACCCTAAACCCTAAAACCCTAAAGCCCTAAAACCCTAAAAACCCTAAAACCCTATGCCTATAAACCCTAAAACCCTATAAACCCTATAAACCCTAAACCCCAAACGGCAGCCCTCCCTGTCGAGCCCGGAAGAAGCATGGTTGGCCGCAGTGAGGCCTGGAGGCGGTACAAAGTCACCTGCCGGGAGATGGCTTTAGGATTGCGGTATTTTTTAAACACCTCTTTTCCTTTCCGCCTTCAAGTTGGGAGGGATTTCGGGTTTAGCATTCAAGATTTAGGGTTTATGTCGTTGCGGTGTTGGGATTCAGGGTTAGGGGGTTTAGGGTTTAGGGATGTTTAGGTAAGAGAGAGTCGTGGTTCTCTCATATTCCTCATTCGAAGGCAGGGCTTTTGACATAAGGCGTTCAGGATGTGGGCGTAGGGCTAAGACCTTGGGCAGTACGTGAACGTGTTTGTGCAACTGGCATAATGTAGACGGCGACGTCAGTGTGTACGTGCGCATATACAGGGCGTGTATACTGAAGGTTTGCAATTGAGCAGCCAACAAGGCGGATCCAACACCCTCTGGATTTGCATGTCGTTCTGTCAAGTTGCCATTACTCAATTTTTTGTATGTCGAAAACGAATGTTCGGAATCCGCCACACAATAACTAGCCTTACAGAGTGGATTCCCCAATATAACCACATTGCGTATTTCGTTTTAGTCCGAGGAACTCCTCCCCCTTTCGAACGATCTCCATCTTTAGACCTGCAAGCCCACATCGTCAGAGCTGCGGCCGTGTGCCCTGCCCAGAGGCCCAAAGTAGTTCCTTTTTGAGACTACCTTATAGGATTCTATATATGAACCCCAAAAAGGAACTACTTTGGGGCCTTTGGGTAGATACTGGCAATCAGCACAGCATCATGAGCATCAGTTGTGGGCCGGCTTGCCAAAAGCAAGCAAGTGGCCCACATCATCTGCGGCCCAACTCCCTAAAAATACCGGCAAATGGGCCCGCATCGTGAGTATCAGTTGTGAGCCGGCTTGCAAAAAGCACACAAATGGCCCAAATCATGCGCAGCAGCTGCGACCGCAAACGGCACAGCATGATGAGCATCAGTTGTGGCAAGCAAATCGCCCACATCATCACTGATGCGGCCCCGCTCTTTAGATACCGGCAAACGGGGCAGCATCATGAGCATCAGTTGTGAGCCGGCTTGCAAAAAAGCACGCAAAAGGCCCACATCAGCAGCATCAGCAAACGGGCCAGCATCATGAGCATCAGGGTCGGATTCCAAAAGCAAGCAAGCGGCCCACATCATCAGCATCAGCTGCGTCCCCGCCCGGCAAAAGGGGCCCGCATCATGAGCATCAGTTGCGGGCCGGCTCGCAAGCAAACAGAAGGCAAGTGGCCCACATCATCAGCATCAGCTGCGGCCCCGCTCCGTAGACACCGGCAATCGGCACACCATCATGAGCATCAGTTGTGGGCCTGCGTGCCAAAAGCAAGCAAGTGGCCCACATTATCAGCATCAGCTGCGGCCCCGCTCGCTCCCTTGATACCAGCAAACGGGTCCGCATCATGAGCATCAGTTGGGGCCGGCTTGCACGGAGCAAGCAAGTGGCCCACATCATCAGCATCAGCTGCGGCCCCGCTCCCTATAGATACCGGCAAACGGGGCAATCATGAGCATCGTTTGTGGGCCAGCTTGCAAAAAGTAAGCAAGTGGCCCACATCTTCAGCATCAGCTGCAACCCCTTTCCGCAAACGGTCCCGCATCATCAGCATCAGCTGCGTCCCCGCCCGGCAAAAGGGGCCCGCATCATGAGCATCAGCTGCGGGGCCGGCTTGCAAGCAAACAGCAGGCAAGTGGCCCACATCATCAGCATCAGCTGCGGCCCCGCTCCGTAGACACCGGCAATCGGCACACCATCATGAGCATCAGTTGTGGGCCTGCGTGCCAAAAGCAAGCAAGTGGCCCACATCATCAGCATCAGCTGCGGCCCCGGTCTTTAGACGCCGGCAGCCGGGCCAGCATCATGAGCATCAGCTGCGTCCCCGCTCCGAAAACACCGGCAGTCGGCACAGCATCACTGAGCATCAGTCGTGGGCCGGCTTGTAAAGCGCAAGCAAGTCACCTACATATGAGCATCAGCTGCGGCCCCGTTCCCTGGATTCCGGCGCACAGGACAGCATCATGAGTATCAGTTGCGCGCCGGCTTCCGAAAGCAGGCAAGTGGCCCACATCAACAGCCCGCATCATGAGCATCAGTTGCGGGCCGGCTTGCAAGCAAACAGCAGGCAAGTGGCGGCCCCGCTCTTCACGCAAGCGGAGGAAGGCCCGCAAAATCAGAATCATCAGCATTGCCTCCCAGTCAGAATCACAGGCCACTGCCCAGTCACCGGCCAAGGGCCTTATGATGCGGGGTGGGCTGTCTTGCAAACACCAGTGGCCGGTATCATCTGCGTTGCCGCCTGAACTCCCTGAACCCCAAAACCTAAACCCTGAAACCAGAAACCCCAAACTCTATAAACCCTGAAACCAGACACCCTAAACTCCAAAAACCCTGAAACCAGAAACCCGAAACTCCAAAAACCCTGAAACCCTAAAGCTGAAAAGCCCCTAAAGCCCCTAGCCTAAACCCTAAACCCTAAACCCTACACCCTAAACCCGGCACCTTAGGAAGGTGCAGCACGTGGTCCTCAAGTTCGGCACGCAGTCGCTTCCATTGCCTGGCTCTACGACTTCTCCCGGACGGCTTTAGGGTTTAGGGCTGTAAGAGAAGGCTTTCGGGGTGTTTAGGGTTTAGGCTTTCGGGGTTTAGGGTTTAGGGGGTTTAGGGTTTAGGGTTTAGGGTTTAGGGTTTAGGGTTTTCGGGGTTCTCTCTATTAAAGGGGGTATTTGTAGGCTGGTATAGGGCTTTGGGGGTTTAGCGGTTTAAGGGCTTGGGGACTTACTGTAGGAACCTGACGAAGAAACCTTGGGTCTTTATTAGGGTACCTTATATGAATCCTACTATTTTGGGGGTACTAGGCCCAGGGTTTCTTAATCAGGTTTCTACATTAGGGGTTTAGGGGACTTAGGCGTTGGAGGGTTTAGGGTTTCGGGATTTGGGGTCAGGGAATGGCGGCTTAGGGTGCAGACTTGGTCAGGCCATCGCACAGGGAGTAACAAGGGAGCCGAGCTACTGGCTTCGATTCGGCAGACCAAGGTACAGCACTGAAAGATTCCCCTAAACCCTAAACCCTCAACCCTAATTCGACTTGGTGCAAGACCGCGAAAGATGGGTTTCGGACGTCACGGATTGCACTCAACAATCTCAAGGCGAAAGCCTCCTCATCGCTGGGAGTCTTCATGCGCGTGCGTGAGGAGTTAGAACAGCCCACACCTTCCAAAATCCCTTAATTAAGGAATATACCTTAAACTATAATAGGATCCCTAATATGATTTAAGGTATATTCCTTAATTAAGGGATTTTGGAAGGTCTGGGGAGTGAGAACAGCCTTCGAGGGCAGGTCATTACAAGTATAAGTCACAAGATGTCGGTAAGGGATACCATCTGAAACCCCGCCGAAAACACCTGGACCCGAGTCAGACGCGCTCTTTGCTCTGTGAGGGTTTATGGGTTACGGGCTTACCTGGACCCCGCGACACTTCTTATTCTTGACGACTTATACCGGGAAGCCAGAAAATGGAACGGTAAAACCTAGGTTTGTTAGAGTCCGGGTAAGGCTTACAGTTCGGGCCATCCAGAAGCCCTTAAGCCTTGAAGGTCTTGTGGGGTTCTATATTCTAAGTGTAATCAAAAAAAGGTAGCCCGAAGGAGCACTGCTGCCAACTATTCAAACCTCATAGCCCATACCCCGAATTAACGAAGGCCTTTCAGGAAACTTCTGTGCTTCAGGTCGGCTGGCATCGTCGACGAGGAGGACCTACCAACTCATGAATCTAACCCAAACTCCAGACCCCTAAATCCAGACTTAGATACCGTTTCGGGTTTAGGGTAGCAGTTTCGTAGGCTCGTGGATTTGGTAAATTTGGGGGAGGACATGACGATCAGCTAGTGGGTGAAAGGATCCGCACTCCAAGCCCCCCATTGTTCCACCATTCCCTTCCCACCCCAACATGTGCAAGTGTTGGGCTCGAGACTACCAGCAACATCATTCAAGCGGGCTCCCTAACATATGGGAGATTCCGAAAATAGGGGACCCTAGTATGGTACCCTAAATAGTAGGATCCTTATTATAAGGACCCCAAAATAATGTACCCCTAGTTTTCGGAAACTCCCATATCCACAAAACCTCCACAAGGCCGGACCGAGTCTACCCAGAGATTCCAATGTCCCTTGATTAAGGACTATACCGTAAAGCATATCAGGGATCCTACGATAATTTCAGGTATATTCCTGAACTAAGGGATATTGGAGTCTCTTTGTACACTTTACTTTGCTTTACATGGGGGTTTCCGAAAGAAGGGGACCCTAATAGTCTAGTACCCCAAATATTTAGGGTCAACAGTTTAGGGCTGTACTGAGTTGTGAGATAAAGAATCCCCCCAAAAATGAAAGGCGCTCCTAGGGGAGCTGACCAATAGCTTTTGGGATTATGCAAAGTGAAGGTTGCCCACTCTACATACTACCTATAGTCTCCATTGTAGTTCCTTTTTCTGGTTAACCAGTTTTATGGTTAGGAACCTTTAATAGAGAGTTTGGATAACCAAGAAAAGGAACTACAATGGAGACTATAGGTATTGAAGCTGTCCGGTCACAGGCTGTGTTATTAGGATTGGGTTTTGACCTCAAACCTCGGCCGCGAACCCTACTTAGAGGATCATGGGACTTAGTAACTAGGTAAACCACGTCCGTACAGTAGAAGCCAGAAAGTTGGAATATCGTTATCGTAACCCCTTTAAGGTAAATGATAGGGGATCCTACCATTAATCCATATTCCAACTTTCTGGAGTTCCCTTTAAGGCCCGTCCAATGTCAGTCCTAGGTTCAACAAGCACCCGTTGACCCGAAGCAATCGTCTCTCGTTCTGCACAGAACGTTCCCAAAGGGTCCAAAGTACCTTTATTTTGAATGCAGGGTTTCTATATTACGAGCTCCTAATATGATTTGGGGAAGTATCCCGCATAACAGCCTAGGAATTTTTGGGGTTGTATAAAAGACTTAACCTGAGCCTGGCCCCATCTATGTCTATGCCTACGCAGAACCCGCAAGCCTTAAACCCGTATCTAGAGCCGTTATACCCTTCTACATCTCTATAACGTCCCTGATAAAACATCAAAGCGCCCTAAACCCTAAACCCTAAACCGCTCTGCCTATGGAAGATCCTTTTTGTCCGGCGCGGGCTCTTATCGCAGTGGCTTCACTTTGACTGCATTCCAGCGCTCAGACCATTTCTCCGAATTGGGTCGCCTTGACTTCAGGGTGCGACTCCCCATGGTTTCGGGGTTTCCACTTCGAGGGTCGGGGGGACTTAGTAAGTAGGTAGTACAGTAGAAGCCAGAAAGTTGGAATATCATTATCGCAACCCCTTTAAGGTAAATTATAGGGGATCCTACCATGAAACCATATTCCAACTTTCTGGAGTTCCCTGTAAGTAGACTTATAAGTACCCTAAAATAGGGACCCTAATCAGGTTCCTACAACAGGGATCCTAATATCGATGCCTTTCAAGAAAAGCTTGATTGTTGATCAGGAGTCTAGGCGATCGCACCTAATGTAGGAACCAGGTCATGAAACCTTGGGTCCCTATTTGGGCTCTTAATATGGATCCTAATATATTGGGCTTAAAGGGCCAGGGTTTCCTAATCAGGATCCTACACTATATCACGCCATCGTGTGCCTTTAGGCCGAAACCCTCTAACCTAAACCCCTAACCCATCTTAATCCACTATAGACCTAGCTGCGAAAAGCCTCTTTGGAGAGTCTATTTTGTGAGAAGCGTCCCATCGTAAGAGGATCGTGCAACCGACCAAAACTCAAACCTGATGTAGGAACCTGATTAAGAAACCCTTTGTCTTTATTTGGGTTCCTTATATGAGTCCTACTATTTTGGTGTTATAGGCCCAGGGTTTCTGAATCAGGTTATACTGAACTTAGAATCCTAGCAAAAAAATATAGTTTTAGCTGCTTCTCAGGGATCATAATAACCAAAACTTAACAATATTTCTAAGTACCCCTAAGATTAGTCCTGAAGCCCCGATCCCTGAGCCGTCAGGCCAGAAGTTCTGACAAGGTGCTGCTGCTTGGGGACATCCTGGCGTGCTGGATTCTCCGGATCCCCATCTAGAAAAGACGGGTACCAGAATAGCCCTGAATACAAAACGAGCTTAGGGACAATACCGGTGGGCTTTACGAGTTTGTGGTGAAGGGGTTTGGGGTTGAAGGAGATGGGGTCTAAAGGCTGCGGGTTTTGGGGGGTTTAGTCTTCGGGGTTTCGGGCTTGTGAATTTCTCGAACCAGGACCTGAGGATGATACAATCCTTTATTTCTCTTATTCCTAGAGCTACATATGGAAGTGCTACGATGTGCTACGTATAGTAGTACATAATCAAAATCAGCAAAGGGTTTCCGTCAGGATAGTCACTGCTATCCAAGCATTGATCTTACCACGCTGATTTCGGCTGTCACCTCCCGCGAATAACCACAACCCCTGACACCCCTGCTCAACCCCAAAACCCTAAACATCTAAGACCTGCATCCGGAAGTTCTACTGTAGCTTCCACTCTCGGGCTTACTCTGGTTCCAGTATGCCCTCAACAACCACGGAACACTTTTGCCAGTATTCAGTTTGAGTTTCAATCAGGAAACAACTTGATGACGACGGCCAACGAATACAACTCGGCAAGCTTCTGCAAGTAAAGATACAAGTACCTTAGTTGGGGTTATCAATACGTGTAGACCTAGCTAGCCTACTTACAACCCTACCTACTAATTAAGTTCCTTCACCCTCTCGCAACACTGCCTGCCAGATCTGAAAGTGCCAGATCCAACATCTTAAGACTGCCGTGGTCTAATAGCTTTGTTCAACAAGTAGGGCCCTTTCGGGCGTAAATCGACAGGCCTCCGTAAAATTGTTACTAGCTTTTGGGGCCGTCGTAATTAGAATAGGATTTCGGACTTCGGAAATATTTATTGTACACACGTATATCGGGACTTGAGGGGGTACTACTGCTAATTATACTACTAAGCGTACATCTTGCGGTTGGCCGTAAACTTCTCTAATTAAGCGGTAATAAGTTCCCACAGACCCATACCCCAAAGCCTCTCGAGCCGCATAGCTATGGCTACCTTACTTTACTTACTAAGTCTCCTAATCCAGTAAGTATCCCCGCAAGACTTAGGTGTAGGGTCTAGACCGGTTCGGATACCTATGTCGAACTACCGTCCCGGAAGCGGAATACACCCTCGCGAATATGGCATTGGGTAGGGATCCTCACTCCCAGCGTAGCAAGGCTCGCCAAGCAAGGGTTTTGCTTCGATTATCGTCAATCTAGATGTGCATGTTAAGCCGAAGCGGCTCCTAAACCCTAAACCCTAAACCCTCACCCTCTACACACTACTTTCCTCAATCCAAATCCCTTGCAGCCTGAACTGAGCCTTCTCTCTGAGCCCTTCAAACAAAGAATGCAGAAACAAACACAAAAGCCGAAACCCCAGTTTGACCACACAAACGAGCAACAGATTTGGCCTCCGCCTGCTCCACACATTCCAGGATTGCCGCAATGGAGGCCGCACCCACCTACAACAACAAACGGCATGGCATGTCGTTCAAGCTGTGAGGCTTTCTGGAGTGCAGGCTGAAGTAGATGTTGCAGGCGATGATTGGATGGGGTTCTACTCCCTTGCACAGGTGTCTGTACGGAACAAGTTATGCTCTGCTTACTTTCTAAGTGGTCCTGTCAAGAAACACAATCGTGCCACCAATACGGGCTTAATGGGTTACAGCTCGGGGGTAGATTGTCGTTCTACCGAAACAGCACTGCTCGAACAATCACTGGCTTACGAAATTGAGCCCCTCGGACATCCGAGCAACAGAGAAATCACAAAATCAAACACAAATTGAAAGCAAGAAGTCGAGGGTACACTCACCCGAGCGGTCTTCGCTTGCTTTCTTTAATAGCTTCAAATAAACACCTCATCAAGACGCGTGCGCTTACCCACTGAGGTATGGCTTGCTTGAGCACCAAAGCTTTCCACATTGGTGAATCTTCGAAACACGCCTTCAACCGTTCGATAAGCTTCATAAGGCAAGGCATAATCGGCCTAATTACGGGCATAAGACTGTGTAGCTTTGTCACGAAGGATCAAAAACCAACAACACAACAAGTTCCAGTATTAATGATGAATTAAAGCCCAACGGAACCCCACGGCAAATGCAACATACACCTGACTTACGTAATTAATCGAAAACCCGCAAACCCCAAAACCCTAAACTCCACCTAATTAAAAATCCCAGACCCCAGACTCGCGGGGGACCAAGGCACTTCAGAGGTGCAGGACTGCGCTTCCCGGATGGAGCGCGAGAAGGTCCTGCAAGGGTTCAGGAGTCAGCTGGGCTTTACGCGGCGTTGCAGGAAAATGATACCCTAAGTTTTGAAACTTATGAAACCCAAAATATTGAAACTTATGAAACCCTAAATTTTGAAACAAGAATCCTAAAATCGTTATCCGTTGTCCTTCGATCAGTATCAGACAGGCCAGGCTGTCAACTGAGCAACGGGCTTCCGGCCAAAGCCAGTAGGGGGATTGTGCTTACCATCCCTCAATTCTCTTCGCCTTGTCACGATCGCAAGAGGATTCAGACATCCACCGAGTGTCCTCTTCTGCTAATTTCCCACAGGAGTTCTGGCTTTCGAGTTTAGTTCGGGCCCAGGTGGATGTTGTCGGGTGCCCTTTACCCATAGGCCCCATAGTAGTTCCTTT